CCTGCCTGAGAGGAAGGAATGGAACCGCTGAAGTACAGTGCCTCTAATTCCTAACTCTTCCAGGCGTTCCAAGAGGATGTCATGGTTTATCATGTCAAAAGCCGCTGAGAGATCTAAAAGAACTAACTAGGTCACGCTTCCCCAGTCAATGCTTAGGTGTAGGTCATCTACCAGAGCAACCATGGCAGACTCCACCCCATATCTAGGTCTGAAGCCGGTTTGAAATGGATCTAGAAAATCAGTATCATCCAAGATCACATGAAGTTGAAAGGCAACGGCCCGCTTGATCACCTTGCTCAAAAATGGTAGGTGAGATACTGGTCTGTAATTTGCCAAACCAGGGGGTCCAGGGAAGGTTTCTTTAGGAGCGGTCACTTCCTTTAGACAGGTTGGAATAGATTCTTCCCTGGGCAATGCACTGATGATCCCTTTGGCCATCAAGTCATCGCCCCCCCTGGACGACCAGCCATGATGGGCAGGGATTGAGGGGGCATGTTGTCTTCTTCACTTTTCCAAGGATCTTGTCCATGTCATTGGTACTCACTGACTCAAACCGATCCAGTTTAATCTCTAAAACGGGCTTACTGGACACCTTATCAGTCGACTCTGCTGTAATCCCGGAGTCTAAGTCGGCACATTATTATTATTATATCTGAGAGATTTTATCTACAAAATAGTTGTTAAAAGCATCACAGCAGGCTGCTGTTGGATTAAGTAAAGGATTCTGCACAGGTGGAACCTGTGTGAGTTTTCTCACTACCCTAAACAGCTCTGCTGGATGAGATTCTGCAGACGCAATATGTGCATAAGATTTCTGCGCTGCATGCATTGCCTCTCTATAGGAATAAAGAAAATTCCTATGACGAGTCTTGTCAGATAGGAGTCCAGTGCGGAGGTACTTATTACCTCCACCCACAGATATGCCTGCTCCGTACTAAAGACTGCATCGAGGGTATGACCTGCAGAATGCATTGGCCCAACAACCAGTTGGGATAGGCCCATGCCTGTCATGGCATCCATGATTTGCCGAGCTGCACCTGTTAAACTGGTCTCGAAAGGGATGTTGAAGTCACCTAGAACTAAAAGTTCTGAGACCAGAATGCATGCATGAAGCACTCTCAAAGGCTGCAGCTAATCTGTGACCCTCGAGAGCTGGCCCCTACTGCCACACAATATCCGATGGAACCTCTACCCCATCTTTTCCCAGCGCATTGCTGGTGGAGGTAGAGATGGTGGTGGGGGCGGGCAAAGTGGCCGCCCAGTCCTTCTCCTGGTGCGGAGCCGGTGCAGAAGTAGATGGTGGTGGGGGCAGGCAAAGGCCCATGTTCCCCTTGGCCTTGCACTGTCCTGTTTGCATGATGCAGGCCAAAACCCCAGAGACAGGATCGGGCTAGATCCTGGCAGACTAGACACAGATCCAGTGGATTCAGCACAATCCTGGGATAAACAGTCATGAATAGGGTCAATTTGACCCCTGGTTTGTCACGGAGTTTCCCAGAAACTCCACAGTATACCCTATGTGTTTAGATTCCTTGCCTGCTTCTTACTTTCCCTCTGTGTCTCTGCTAGTGAGCAGCCCCCCATCGCAACTGCTGACATGGGAAGGGGGGCTGGCTGCAGAGGTCCCGCTCACAAGCAGAGTTGAAGGGAGAAGATAAGGAGCATGCACCGGTAGCGCATCTCCAGGCCTGCTCAGTGACTGATTCAGGTTAGCATGTGGGCCAGGAAAGCAGGGGCTGAACCCATGCTTTTCTGCTGGCCTGTCTGTTCAGGGCCCACTTTGCTTTGCATGCTCTTTCCAGAGGGATAGCCATATTAATCTACTTCAGCAAAAACATTAAAGAGTGGAAGGGATCCAGCCAAACAACAACTAATCAGAACCAATCTTAATATGGACTTGACAGAAGATTTTACCAGTATTCCATAGCTGTCACATTCAAAATGTGGACCATATTTTTCTGCCACTGCCATCACATGTCATGTGGTTTTGATATAATTTTGTATACAATACTAACAGGAATTATATGCTGGATTTGTGTGGTTGTGACATTGTATTTAGGAACCTTAAGTTTTGGCATGGAATCTGTGACTACTCAGGATCACAAAAACCTCACCCAAAGTTCTGTAACAAGAAGAAGCAGTGGTTCCTAAACTACTTTTAAAATACAGCTAGGTGGCATACCTTCCAATTAGTATTTTGCTACCGGGCCGCAAAATTTTATACTTGCTTCTCTGACACATCCCTTAGCAGTGGAAGAAGCAAACACCTTGAATGGAAAGCCCTGCCTCTGATTGCAAGCCCCCACTGGTCCCCAGGAAATTAAATTCTCATTGTAAGCAGTTCAGGTATAGGATGGGTCCAAGACATTTTGATGCTTGATGTGAAGAAGATGGAGACCCTGTTCAGGTCACCTACAAATATTAATTGGACTCACAAATTAATCTTACATCTCCACTGGCAATGGGACAGTGTTACCACACATGAGGCAGCAGCCTTCTTTATGGGACCAAAGACCACTTGTGTGAAGAACAGTTATGTGGTTTAGAAGGACCTGATGGGAACAGACTCCATTGCCCCCAACTTCCACTATTTCAACTAGCTACCTCACTATGATAAATGCTAAGGACAGAAATCACCTCGCCACATAAGGAGGGAGAATGGTCTCAGGGATCTTGGAAGCTCAAGGTTCACCTTCAACTTCCCACTAGGATGAAGTTTTTATTTGTTCAAGTAGATTTCAGTCTATTTGAAGGACTGTATCTCCCTCGAAGGGCTCTAAAATCATATGGAGAGGCACTTCTCTCTGTCCTACCACCTTAGAGTTGTTTGGTGGGAAGAGTCTTCATTATGGCTGCTCTCAGACTTGGGAATTACCTCCCTAGGAAGGCGAGAATGGCCCTGTTCTTGCTCTCCTTCTGTCGGTGAACTAAAAAACAAGCCAGCAGGCTTATAGAAACTAACTGGGCTGGGCTTTTAATTCTATGCAGCGCCGTTTTTAAACGTTATATAGGGAGATTAATCTTTCAGACAGTCTGAACCCTTTTTCAGGTATTTTGGAATCAAGCCAAATCTTGGATCTCAAAAATGGAAATGATGAACTTAAAAACACATATTTTATTTTACACATGAAGTGAGCCAGGCTAACTACATTAAACGAAGACAACATAAACTGGATGAAGTCTTCAGATAGGGTACCAGTATTTTAATTTACAACATCTAAACATCACATTCTTATGGAGGAGGTGGGGAAGCCCCCCAAAAAACAAAACAAATACCCATGTGAGGCTTTCACACCAAGCTCTTATGCAAAGCTTGGCAAAATCACATTTGCCTTTCACCATTCACTTGTAAACTCTCCCAACATGTCTGGAAAACAATGGGTGTGAAAACAAAATCAAACCCTCTTTCCCTTTCTTCCTTGATCTTCTCAACACTTACCTCAGGCTATATAAAATAGAAGTGATAACAAGAGGAAATGCCTGACCAAACAGCAATTATCAAATGAATGTGTTCCAATCAATACAAATAAAAATAAATCAAATGACAGAGTTTGAGTCAGGGGAGTGTAATTACCAGGGATCTAAGGGTATCAGCAAAGGTCTAAAATAGCAGGGCTAAATTGAATCTCTCTGAATGTTCTGACTTGTGGATTGGGCCCTGGAAGAATGTGGGGAAAAAAATACTCTTTGAACAACATCTCCTCAAAACACCCAGTGAGCATGATGATTGACCATGATAATTGACCATCAGACTGGGGGATTCTGGGAGTTAAAAGTCCAAATACACAAGTTTATAATCTTTCTCATTCATCTAACCAAGTTGGGGGGGGGGGGAAACAATCCTATGCAAGAACAACTTACAATAAGAATCACAAAAGACACAGCACACTCTTCTCTCCCCCCCCCCTCCACAAGAACAGCATTTACATAAACCTGCATAACCATCCCTAGATATCCAAAGGCTTGGTTTTCTAAGACTTTGCAGAAAACAGGCAGGCATTGCACTTGATAACTTTTAATGTATCAGCATGTCCATTCTTGCAGTGAGAAGACTGCCCAGCTAATATTCATTTTTAGTTTTAAAAGTTACTTCTGCCCTTTTAGTTTAAAGGGTGGTCAATTATGACAGTCAATGTAACTAGGAATTGTATGGAATATATACCTACACAAGGGTGAAAGGAGGGGAAACCAGCAGCTTCTTCTCCCTAAACATTCCATTGTCAAAGCTGACATTTAGATCAGCACAAATATGACTCTGTGTTCCAAACCTTCTATGTACTAAATTAATCAATGTTTACTAAGGTCTCTTCTCTCTTTTCTGGAAAAGAGCTTTATGACAAAAGTGCAGCAAGGAGACAACTTCTATGGGAAAAAAAGCATGGCTAGGAAAGGAGGGGGTTGGACTACAACTCCCAGATTCCCCAGCTAGCATGGCTACTTCCAAGTCCTGGGTATGAGTCTATTTTGCTGTGCCAACACTTCAAGGGATCATGCAACTAACAGTCTGAAGGAACAGGGCTGGATTAACCACTAAGCAAAATAAGCATGTGCTTAGGGTATCAAGGGAAGGGAAGCACCACAGAAATTTTCCATTGCCAAATTTACCATATGGTACAAAACTGCAAATGGTGCAGGGTTCACACACACAAAACAGCTTCTACAATAAATGAAAAAATATATATACATGTATGTATATAATGTCCATTCCCTCCAGTTTGATGCACATTTTTGTGCATCAGTCTGTCCTGATCTTTTTTAACTCCTCTAAATAACTGGATGTCATAAGTAAACTTGGCTACCCATTTCAGTGCTAAGCTTCAGATCATTAATGAACATGTTAGAAAACACTGGACATAGTAAAGATCTTTGTTGCTGTGTGCCTTCAAATAGTTTCCGATTTATGATGATCTATTGTGGGGTTTTCTTGGCAAGATTTGTTCAGAAGAGATTTGCCCACTGCTTTCCCCTGTGACTTGGCCAAGGTCATCCAGTGGGTTTCATGGCTGAGTGGGATTTGAACCCTGGTCTCTAGAGTTGTAGTCCAACACACAAACCACTAAGTCACACTGACTCCATATATATATATATATATATATATATATATATATATATATAAACATCATCATCATCAACAACAATACATTGTAGTAATAGAGGTTAATGGTATACATTCATCTTGGGAATATAACAAAATTAGAATCTGGTAACTGGTAAACTGCCACACGATCCACTGAAGCTCACATGATCGTGATATATATGGGAACATCAAAATCTTTTAAGTGTTTAGGATCTCTAAAGATCTTAAACTGGCCCTGTGAAGGAACATGCAGCAATATTATTGAAGTCCAGCAAATCTGGGTTTGCTTACTGCCTAGATGGGAGACCATCCTAGAACCTGTATATGCTGCTTTAAGTATTATGGAAGAAAGCAATGATACAGATGCGTTAGATAAGTAAACAATTAAAATGCATCTCAGCAAAGTACTGGCATACATGTACTAGCTTTTCACTGTTGCACAAACCTGGAATAAGAAATCAATAGTAAGAACTGTTAACAACAATTTGAGAAAGGGTACAACCAAGCTTTCAAGATAACCAGCTCTCTATGGTTTTCTTGATTACAGCTAGCTACCTATCTAGCAATTGAGCTGCTCTAGTTACTGCTTGATCAATAAGTCTGGTATTGGCAGTTCTCAGAGAGCCTGTTACCATGATTATTTTAGCATTTAAGTTTGTAAACAATGGAATGAAGAGGCAAACATTGCAGTAGAGACGCAAGCACAGAGACAAAAAAACGACCCTTGCCAAAACAGGTAGGCAGAGAGTTCTACTGCTAATAAAGGGAAGCCAACTGTTCTCTATAAATCTAATCCTCTCCCAGGACATGAAGTGATCCTTAAAACCACAGGCTCATAGACTTTGAAGCAATCAAATCAAATAATAAAGAGAAGAAGTCCTCAAGGAAGAAAATCTGTCAGGGAAAGAAGAAAAATGACAATAACAGATGGGAACAAAGGCAAGGACAAATAGAACCAGGCAATCAATAAACTCATTCTACAGTTGTTAAGGGACAAAAGCAAAACAACAAAAATGAGCCCAGGGCTTTAATTATCTCACACTGGTGGTTGCCTACTTCAGCATTACTCTTCTTTACAGGGAAAGGCACAACTGCTACATCTCACTCTGAACTGAACTCCTGGCTTCCAGTTCTACCATATGAATATATGAACAGCTCTTCTGTTGAGGCTAAAAACAACAGAATCCAAAATCCACAAAACAGTGATATCTTTATTGGGTACAAAATACATCATGCAAGCTTTTGAAACTCCACTGCCCTCATCATCAGGCAAAGATGTTAAAAATCATGCAGGAAAAGAAAGACATGACAATGTTACAGTCACAGGCCTTTGTCTTAAGATGTTCTTCTGTTGCCAATTAAGATGGCTTAGAATAATAATAATAATAATAATAATAATAATAATAATAATAATAATAATTTATTTGTACTCCGCCCCTCTGCATAGCAATCGGGGTGGCTAGACTAGAGGGATCTCAATGCAGGCAAAGGCCACCCCCTTTTTTGGGGACATGTAGGGACTGAGAAACAAAAATCAGTAAAATCATGCAATCAAATTTCAACTCCATTAGCAACAGTACAATGCAACAATTGAACAATGGGAGTTGGTGGCTCCAGTGTCTGGTGAATTCATTCCTGGTTTTAGTCCAGATTTCAAAAGAACTGAACTTATCAAGAAAATAGAATTAACCACCCTGGATAGTTTTTTGAATTTCAGACTAAAACCCAAAGCAGATCCAACACCCACTTTGATATCAAAGCAACCAGCTGCTACTTAAGAGATTACTACATGCAGATGTATAACCATGATTCCACGCCAGAAAATAAGTGGCTTTGGCAATACTTATGGCATGACAACAGCTTCAACCTGTAACTGCTTTCTCCCTTATCAATCAATGACCACACAATCACACAAATTCCCAGATGTGAGACATCACTGCTGGAGCAGCTGCATGTTCGGCATTCACATGGTGTCATTGTCCCTTCCTCCCTTCTGTCCCACTTTTCCCTCACTATTCCCAAGCAGCCTGATTCCCTTGGTTCCCCCCCATTTCTTTTTTAAATTAAATTTATTATCATAACACATATATTAAATACATTCATTAAATTACAAACATTATACGTTATACAAATGTATTATACAAAGCATTATACAAAATACATACACTCATCAAACATTACTTACGACTCCCCATACAAGCATCATACACATACATATACACATACATCTTGAGTTTTAACACCGACTAGAGCTGTATTACTCTCATTAACAAACAGAAAAAAAGAAAAATAATCCTCCGTTATCAGGATCTACTTAATTAAGTGTGCATATTCTGTCCGCTACTTTTACTTCAGTGTTTCTAAATAAGCAGAATTTATTATATGTTGTATTGTCTTCAACTTCCTAAACTTCTTTCTGTCTGATGTGACTAATTTCCTTTACGTTTTTTCAACTATTCTAAGATTTATTATTATTTGCTGCTTCAATTTAATCCTGATTTCTGACTTTTTTTTTTCATGAGCAGCCATATTTTACAATGTTTCCTATTTCTTTTTTTTAAAAAAAAACTTAACCTTTGGTAACTCACAGTAGCAGAGCTCTGGAATTGCATGGAAAAAGTGAAATAAAAATGAATAACCTAAAGGCATGCTGACTATGGCATAAGGCAGGGAGGTGGGGTTAAGGGAGAGTCAGAAAGAAAGCACAATGGGGACAACAGCCCCAGTTGTGCAACTGAGAAGACATGTGGTAATGGTTGCTTTGCAAACATTATGTTCCCATTTTTATTACTAATGTGATTGTTGCAAGAATGGGGCTCATGTGGTAAAGCCTAATTCTCTTAGCCCAAGCTTGATTCCCTTCATTCAGATCTAGGAAGCTGCTGAAGGGCCAGATGTATGGCTAGTATAAAGCTGCACTGGAATCAGAAATCTCAGGGTTGAGCATAGTACCTGACAGACATTTTTCACTAAACAACCAGACAAGCTAATTACTCATAGGACATAACTCTAGAAAAAGAAATGCCTTCCTTCAGCAACTATATTCACTGATCTCAGTTAACCATTTGTTAATTGAAAGAAAGTAATGAAGTCCTGGACAGTTTTTAAACCCAATTAGTGTCTAGTTCTTCCCCACCAAAGGCAAATATTAATTTCATCCTTTCTTATCCAAAAACTTAGCAGAGAGATGTTTGTGAGGAGTGAATATTTGGAAAAATCACATTTCTAACTGTGGCTGTCAAGGAGGATGAGATAAAAACAGATGATTAGAGGGGCATACTAGAGTTAGAGAAAGTACAAAGAAACCGATTTCCACCATATGAATAAAATTTCTCTGTTTATTCTCATATGAATAAAGATTCTCTGTTTATTCTATCATTTCATGCTTACCCCAACCTTTGAGGAATCTCTACATAGGCAACATAATAGCCCTTCATGCTTTCAATTCTATCAGATGTCTTTTTCCCCTCTTCTCTTTTCTGTTCTGTTTCTTACCCACTGTTAAAGTAAAATTTGTTATACATTCAATGTTATTCTTGTTTTACATAGGAAAAAAAAAGTATGAAACCCATTTATCTGTTTATACATCCATCTACCATAGGCAGTGTGGAAAGCATTAACTACTTTGGCAAAATTTTTGAGGCTTTTAAAGACTCACAGTGACTACTGGAAAGCCCTCAAAACATTTAGGTTGTTTGTCTAATATAATCTGCCACCATCTTTTCCACAGTTTTTGTTTTCACACATCACAATTTACTGCTGTCTTATGCTTGATTTTGTTCTTTCAGCCAGGGAAGTCAGCATCCCAATAACAGCAAAAGAAAGCAGCAAGGCAAGCCAAGGCAGTGTTAGTCTGGATTTGGAGGTCCTCATATTCCATATCTGGAACCAGCATGTTCTTTAGTGCTCGCAATGATCCTTAGGAACATCAAGTCAGGCTCCCAGGAGAAAAGGAGCAAGACCCAAGACATGTGCACATCCAAGTAATAAGACAATCAAATATAAATGGCTGTATTACCGTAAGTGCTCCTTCCTTCCCCCAAGTCATCTACATTTCCTCTTGCACCTTGAGACAAAGGATCTCTTTGCACCCAAAGTAGTAAGCTAACCTCTCTGCCTACCCTTATTGGGTTCCCAGCCAATCTCTGTCCATCCATCCTGGGGATATCCTGATCCTGATCACTGTTTTCGTCACCCAAAATTAAAACCATCAACCAGTCCAGAATCCTACTGTCAATTCCTGGAGGACATCAGCCTTTGTTACCTTACAAAATAGCCCACTGCTTGGGATTAGATTTCAGATATAAATATTTGTGCCACCCTCAGACCTACCCAGTCTCAGCCACTCTAGCTTTCCATGGTCTACTCATCAGACAGGTAATTATCACACTGCTGTAAACCTCACTGTCCATTTTCCATATTTCCATTTGGGTTAACTTTGAATGCTGTGTCTGTGTGGACTGCTATTGTGTGTATGATTGCACTTTGCATTTTTCTAAATAAAATTCTCTTAATTCACTCCAAACCTGGAGTTCTCCTCGGTTATTACTGGTATATAAAGGTGCAAATGGTCCTAAAGGTTACCCAGCCTCTTGCAGAAACTGATTTGCCCAAAATTTAAAATAACACTGACTTGGTGTTACCTCCCTTCCCCAGGCCCCCACTTTTCTTTGGCTAACAGCAGGGCACAGGGCCTAGACGATTTTTTTTTTTAATAAGCTCACCTCCTTAACAAGATGACCCAGCTTTCTTATCCCAATGGAGCTGTTACTAGCACATTCATTATTCCATGTTCACAGCAATGGAACTCTGAAAACAGTGGACTTAGCCACAGAAGACCTATTACCACATCTGAAACAGGAAAGTCCAAATATCTCTACTTTCTCTTTATAGATTTTTTTCCAGTCACAGACAGAAAATAAATAGGAACAGAAGTGGCTTGTTATGGCCCCTCTCATCCCCAAATGAAGCTTCCTCTTCCCCATTCATCTGTT